CTCTCTCTCTCTCTCTCTCTCTCTCTCTCTCTCTCTCTCTCCTTCTCTTTCTTTCTCTCCGTATCAGAGATAAAATCAGACTCAAACTAAGATAAAGTTCAAGGCTATTTTTTAATTTTACACACACACACACACACACACACACACACACTCTTGCATGCGCAATATGCACACATACATACTTTGTTTTGCTTTTTTTTTTGTTTTAGGTAGGGTCTCATGTAGCACAGGCTGGCCTTGAGCTCACTATGTAGCTGAAGATGGCCTTAAGCTCCCAACCCTCCTGCCTCTACCCCCCCCCCGAGTCCTGGTAAAAGGAATTAAAAAAAAAACAAAAACAAAAACGCAATTTATTCCAAAGTATCTTAACACAAACTCTAATACCATGAGCTGAGTGTGGCTTATACTTCTAATCCCAGTGCTTAGGAGGTGGAGGCAGGAGGATCAGTTCAAGGTCATTCTTGGCTACATATCCAGTTTAAAGCTAGTCTGGGCTATATGAGAACCTGTTTCAAGAAACCAAACAAAATATTATAGGTACCATGTTATTTCGCCTCTAAATGCTTCGGTATACATCTCTAAAAGGACTTTCCTGTGAAACAATATTTCCTTAATATTATCTTATGATTAATCTTTATCAATTTTCCCCAGTTGTCAAAAATAAATGTACCAGGAGACTACAGAGATGGCTCAGTGGTTAAGAACGCTGGCTGCTCTTCCAAAGGACCCTGGTTCAATTCCCAGCATCCACATGGTGGCTAACAACCATCTGTAACTCTAGTTCCAGGTGATCCTATGCTCCTCTTCTGGCCTCTGGGGGCATTGCGCCACATGGGTTCACCTATATGCATGTAGGCAAAACATTCATACACATAAAATAAAAATAAATAAAAACAATTTTAAAATATGTATTGGTTCACATGAGTGAAAAGCCAAGTGGTTCTTTGGGTGTGGCAACTAAATAGTTACCTAGGAGTCCACCCCATTCCCTCTTTCCTTGGCTGTTTCCTTTCTGTTGACTCCTCTGCCCCCTGCATGTCTTCTTCACAGAAATGTTCACATTACACACAGAGCTGAAAGATCCTTGGGAGAGGGGGGTCTTGGATTCATCCTCATCCCCTCTGTTTCCCCTATATCTACATCCATGTGCTCCAATGGCTCTTATCTTGAAGGACAACCAAAAGTCCATTGCTGATCATCATCTCCTCCCGGGTCCTGCCATCACCAGCTCTCCTACGTCACTCCAATGGCTCTCTCTTGCTGCTGTCAGTCTCTATTCTTGCTCGTCAGTCTGTTCTTTTCTCCTTAGTCTACTTTCTACAAAGAAGCCAGAGTCTATTTTGAAACGTTAAGTGAAGCCATGACATTTATAGGACTCAAGTCTCTTCCAGAAGACAGTCCCAGTAGTCACTGGCAAGGCTCTCTATGACCCTCTTTCCTCCCCTTCCACCTTCTTACCTCTCATTGTGTGGTTCCTGTTCAACCCCTCCACCATGCTTGTGTCTTTACTGTTTTTCAAATACATTAGACATATGGATTTTGCTGTAGCTGTTTCATCTACCTGGACTGTTCCTCCCCCAGACACCTCCAGGTCTTGTCCTTTCAGGCCCCCTTACTTCCTCTAGTCTTTGCTGAAATGCAATTTACCTTGAGCATCCTACTTACAATTGATAAGGCCAAAAGACAACACAGAAGCTGATGAGGATAAGAAGATGCCAGCCACACAAAGACCGAGGGGAAAAGCATTCCAGGAAGATGGAACAGCCGAGCACAAGGGCCCTTTGGTGGGAAATTGTTTGATGCATTTAAGGAGTTGCAAGAGGGTCAGTGTCTGGAGCTTAGTTGTTACTGGTGGAATAGGCACTCGGGAACAGTAATAGTAGAGGAATCTGAAGGATTTTGGTGGAGTCAGGTACTAGTTAGTATGCAGAATAAAGAGTTGATTGTGGGGCTGGAGAGATGATTCAGTGGTAAAGAGTGCATAATGCTCTTGCAAAAGACCTGAGTTCAGTTCCCAGCATCCATGCCAGGCAGCTCAAAATAGCCTATAAACTCCAGCTCTAAGGGACTCTGAGGGCACCTACATTCATACACGCATATAACAATACATGCACATACCCCCTTTCCCCATACACGCAATTTTAAAAAATAAAAAAATTATTTTTGGTCTTTTTGAAACAGGGTCTCCCTGTAGCACCAGCTGGCCTGGAACTCACTATGTAGACCAGGCTGGCCTTGAACTCACAGAGATCCTCCTGCCTCTGCCTCCCGAGTCCTGGGACTATAGACTTGCACCACCACGCCTGGCTGAAATCTTTTTTTTTTTTTTTAAAAAAAAAGGAGTTGGATTTTAGTTCTATAATGGTAGGAGGTCTTGATCATGAAAGTGATTTCATTTTAAAAGTTCATCTCAGCTCCTGGATAGATGGCTGATTGTAATCAGGAGTGTGTGGAGGAGTTGTTGAAATAACCCAGGAGGGAGGAGGCTGTGACTTGGATAGGGTGGTCAGTGGAGAGGCTGGAAGGAGGTCAGAAGCTGCCTGTTTTTAACAGTGGCGCTCATGGCACTTACTGATGAACTGGATGCTGAATTGGGTTGTGTGCTTGGGACAGAGGGCTCAAGGCTGACTATAAAATTCTTGGCTTAAGCAATTAAATAGATAGTGACAGCTTTTACTGAGATGGAACAATATTGATAATCACAGAAGGAGTATCAGACTAAAAGGTGTGTGTGTGGGGAAACCTGGGCATGGAGACACATGCCTATAAGCCTAGTACTTGGGAGACTGAGGCAGGAGAATTGAGAGTTTGAAGCCAGCCTGGGCTATATATTGAGGACCTGTCCCAAACAACAACAGTGGAAGTGGGTGGGTGTGAAATTCCAAATTTCACAATTTGGAATTGTAAAACGATTCATTCTAGGTGTGGTATCAACTAACTGGGTGAGGGTGCAGGTCTATAGCTCATGATGAGATGTGAGCTGCTCCCTCCACTTGCCATGAGATGCACCTACAGGCAGGTATACCCAAGACAAAGAAAGGTCTTCCTCCCCTTTTCAAGGTGTGACCAGTTTGGGAGGTTGGGAAGAGCACAGGAATACTGGTAGTTTCTGGGACCAGCCTCTCTTCCATCACACCATTTCTTCCAGTTCCCACTGTTATCAGGAAAGTATCAGTCTGCAGAGAGGGTGAGTATACTGACCATGCCTACCTACCTTTTGTCTCCTTTTTGTGCCAGCATGGGATGACGGAAAGATCCGAGCCTTTGCCCCTGAGACAGGCCGACTGATGTATACCATTAACAGTGCTCACAGGATTGGTGTGACCGCCATTGCTACCACCAGTGACTGTAAAAGGGTTATCAGTGGCGGTGGGGAAGGAGAGGTACAGTACTTGAAACTTTTTTTTATTTGTATGAATGTTTTGCCTGAATATGTGCTCCCATGCATGCAGTGCCCATGAAGGCCAGAGGAGGGTGTCAGATCCCCTAGATGGTTGTTAGCCACCATGTGGATGCTGGGAACTGAACCTGGGTTCTCTGCAAGAACATTCAGTGCTCTTAACTGTTGAACCTTTTCTCCAGATCCACCTTTTGTTTTTTTAAATTCCTTGATTTAGAGCAACTGACACATAGGAAGATTTCATTTTAAGGTACATATCTGTAGTATATGTAGTATATGTAAGTGCATATGTAGTAGATTCAGGCAGGGTCAAAATAAGATTTTGATGAGACCCTAAAATATATCATAAATTAAAGTTCAAATGTTATAAATAGCCTTGTTTAAAGAAGGAACAGTTAAGATACAGACGTAAAAGTCCCGTCTGGGATCAAGCTCTGAATCCAAGTTGGTGCCCTGCCAGTTTGGCATACTTGTGCTTTTCCATCTACCAGAATTGTCCCAATTGTCTTTAGAATCACTTTTTAAAACAAGTCGGGCATTTGGCTATTTTAAAGTTACGCCCATTTTTATCCCCATCATTTTGAAGACCCTAAAAACACTTCACTCATTTAATTTTGAGTCTCTCTTAACCTATGAGGCATCTCTCCAGCCCCTGTTGTTTTTAAATCCCAGAACCTTGTCTTTGTCTACCTTGGGCGGGGCATTCTCCTCTCTTTTCTCAGCTATCACAGGAAGAATTTATCAAAGAGGAGAAACTCCCAGAACCTCGAGGGAGCCCTTAGCAGAATGAGACAACAGGGGTGAATGCTTGGGCTGAAATTTCCCTTCCTTGACTTCCAGCCGCGTGACCGTGGCATATGCTTTAACTTCTTTGTACTTCTGCGTTCTGAAGTATAAAGTGAAGATAGCAGACACTTATGAACAAAACATTTTATACTCTTCATTTTGTACTGTCTTTAAAATCTGCCTGTATATTTGCCATTGGGGCCCTTTCCACCTGACCAGGCACACCCAGACCTAGGCCATGTCCCTCTCTGCCTACCACCTCCCTCATGGTCTTGCCCCAGGACCTCATCTCTCCCACCACACTCTCCTTGACACCCCCAGGACCCTCATCCTTACTTCAGGGGCATTTGCCTTGCTGTTGCCAAAACCTGGTCTGGTAAGCTCTCTTTGGGAAAAGAAATAACACTCTACACTCGCATTGTTTGGCCTGCTCATTAGTCTTTCCAAGTCCTGTATCAACTCTTCCTCCCTTCTCATTCAGTGATCGCAGGACCCCTCCTGGAGAGTTTTCATAGTCTTCTTACGTTCTAGAGTACAGCGCTGCACTCAGAATGAGCGCACCAGAACAGTCCCCTCTAAAATGCGTATTTCTATTTTCAGTGGTAGATGGTCTTTGTCAGAGAGACATTCCCTCAGCCTCACCACCCTTGCTTTTCCTTAAGTGTACTTCAACCTCCCCATAATCCCATAACTAAAGGATTAGTGTCTGGCACATCCAAAGTGCTTCCAAGACCGTGGTCCCAACCACAGGGCTCTCTGCTGAATACCCACATCACACTTGCTAAATATTTTGAATATAACTTCTCTACTGAAGACTAAATGTAAGCCTCTACATGTCATGGGATTTCAACATACAGTTAACTGGAGTTTTAGCTCAATGGTAGCTTAGTATGTACAAGACCCTAGGTTTGATCTTCAGCATAAAAAAAGAAAAAGAAAACAAGAAAAAAATTGACACTAGTCACTTTCTGATCAATGTTATAAAGGACTGTCTCACCCTATAGGAATAAGCTGAGCAAGGCTCAGCTCTTTGGGAGGACCCCGTGCTTCCTCATTTGCATGGACAATGTAGTTTCTTTCTTCACGTAAGGCTGTGTCCTTATCAGGTACAAATGAGTCCAGCCTGTTCTATTGTCTGGCTCTAGATTTTGACCTAGGCCACTGGCCACTGTTCCTTCACTGTTCTGGAGAGCTTACACAGAATAGTTCTGCTCATGTTGTTTTTCTTAAACATTTTCATTGGAAGCATCTCTTCATATTACTGTGCATTCTTGGTATGGCTGTAACATGGCCTTTATCAATTGAAGGACACACTATAACAACCAACTTTCCTTTTCTTGCCTTTTCTAAGATGATATTTCAGGTAGCATATTAAAAATTTTGTTTGTAGGTAATTGTATTACTATGTATTTCATTTAAGGAGAGCATCAGAAAATGTTTGTCATAGAAAATGGGCATTAGGCTCAGAGCAGTGGCATACACCTGTAATCCCAGCACTCAGGAGGCCTAGGCAGGAGGATCACCCTGAGTCCAAGGCAGTCTGGGCTGTTTAGTGAGACTCTGTCTCAAAACATATATAAATAAAAAAGAAAATGGCAACTGGATTCTGTGAGGTTGAAAACCATTAGTTTCCAATAATTAAAACTGAACAGCTGATGTGAACGTTTAAATATGGCTCTGGGCACCCAAGAAACTTCCTGATGGCTTGAGAAATTTGAGAACCCTGTTCAGCAGAAGTGAACAGACAGATTCTTTCACTGGGTTCAGCAGAGGCTCTCGCAGTATTGATTCTCCTAGTGGGTACCTAGTGATCATATTCTAAGTCTAAAAGTGGCAGCTGATTTGAGATGGTGGCAGCATCTTCCAGCTCTACAGATGGTGGCCACATCTTGTACATGTTTCTGCCTCCAGTGTCACACTCCCACCCTGCCCGAGATGGGAATAGGGAACTAACTCATCACAGTCAGCAGAGATGAAAAGTCTCCCTGGGTTTTCCTTGATCCTTTCCAAAGTTCCAGGTTTGTGTTGCTTCCCTGTGCTTTGGCACCTGCAGGTGAGGGTGTGGCAGATAGGCTGCCAGACTCAGAAGCTGGAGGAAGCCCTCAAGGAGCACAAGTCCTCTGTGTCCTGCATCAGGGTGAAGAAGAACAACAAGGAGTGTGTCACTGCCAGCACTGATGGGACATGCATCATCTGGGACCTTGTGTAGGTACCTGGGATGGAGGAGAAGGTGACAGTTGTAAAACAGCCATGACAGCATTTTATTGAACACAAGTACAAGTTCCATAGAGGGTTGTATCAGTTATTTTTCTGGTTGCTCTGACAAAATGCTTGACAAAAGCAACTTAGAGAAGAAAGCTTTTTTATTGAATTTTTGTGATTTTCATACAACATAGTTTGATGGTATTTAGGTCCCCTCCCCTATCCATACCTGCCTTCCACTTCCCCTTGCTCAATTTAATGTATTCTCTTATATACACAATGCTGCCTATAGAGTCTGATTTGTGTCCCCAACTGTTTTTCAGTGTGGGTCCATCCACTGGGCCCACCAAGAGTCCCATCCCTTTAAGACACTGTCTCTCCCCCTCCCAGCAGCCATCAGTTGCCCAAAATTACTTAGGTTGGGTTGGGATTTCTTACCCACTTCTCCGTGCCTATGGTGAATTTTGTCTGGTGAAAGGGTTTACTTGGCTCATGGTTTGAGGGGACAGTTGGTTATAGCTGGAGGCATGGCAGCAAGAGTGTGGGGTTGCTGGCCATACTGTATCCCAGTCAGGAGCTAGAGAGTTAAACCTTGGTGTCAGCTTCTTTTCTTCTTATTCCTTCTCAGTCCATAGGATGGTGCTGCCCACATCCAGGGCGGGTCTTCTCATTTGACCGGCTCTGGATACACTCTCACAGACATACCCAGATGTGTATCTCCTGGGTGATTCTAAATCCAGTCAAGTTAGTAATCAAGATGGGAGCATTATTTAAAGCTTCTCAGAGGTCCTTGGTCTACCTGGCTGACCACAAGCTATAGATGCTGGTGGGAAAGGCATGGTCTCCAGGAAGAACAAGAATCAGAAGTTTCCAGGAAGTTAGGGAAGTAGTTTTCTGAATACATTCAGTGAAGCATGCTTTAATGTGCATCAACTCAACCTAAATGTTGCAAATTCAGGGAACAAGGAAAGTAAGTACTGCAGGCAATTCCTCTCGTTATCCTGCACCATCATGGGCCTGCCATGGGAGGGAGTGATGGGAGAAACACCCCCTATGCTGGCCACATTCTCAGGGACCTCTTAGCAAATCACACCCAGCCCCACACAAGATGCTAATGGCAAATTCTGCAGACCAAAGCATGCAAACTTCTTTTTGAAATTTTGGCTATAAGCATTTTTGCCATCTTTATTATGGAATCTAACCCTATCACTCCGAACTTCCTTCCACCCACCCACTTATTCTTCTATCACTCCCGGTATATGGCCTTAGCATAGCTGTCTAAAGAAACTGAATACATATGAAGATGGGACAGAGGAGATATATTTGGCCAAAGAATATGCCCCGCAGTTTACTTTTGAGATGGTGAATCACTATATTTCCAAGGTTGGTCTGGAACTCATGGGCTCAAGTCATTCTTCCGCTCCAGCCTCTTAAGAAGCTGGGAATACAGGTGTGTGCCACCATGCGCAGATGAAATGTTCTGGCTTAGAGAGAAGGGAATGAGAACTGAAGGCAAAGACAGAGCACTTTTTATTTAATGCACTAAAAGCTAAAAGCAGGGCTGGGGAGATGGCTTAGTCAGTAAAGTGTCACAAAAGTATGAGGACCCAAGTTTAGATCTCCAGCACCCACATAAGAGCCAGGCATGGTAGTGCACACCTATAATCTCAACATTGGGGAGGTGGAGACAGGAGGATCCCAGGGGCTGACTAGTAGAATCAGCAAGTTCCAGGGTCAGTGAAAGACACTTCCTGAAAAAAAAAAAAGATGGAGAGCGATTGAGGAAGACACCCAGTGTCAACTTCTGGCCTACATATACACACTCACATGTACACATACTGTACATCACAGAAACACACACACACACACACACACACACACACACACACACACCCCAAAACAATAAACAAACTAAAACTCCAAAGCAAAGCAAGCCCATTTTGTAGTTGGGCTTGTCACCAACTTGGTTCCCAAGTCACCTGGAGATCTTGTTGAACGTAGATTTTGAGTCAATAGATATGGAGTGGCAGCTGCATTTCTGCATTTCTAACAAGCTCCCATATGATGCTGCTGGTCCAAGGCCCATTCTGATAGAAGGGATTGATCTACATGTGAACTTGCCAGCGGGAAAATGTGGAACAAGAAGAGGCATCTGAGCTTATTTCATTGGATGGTTTGTAACTGCTACAAATCTTTAACACCCCCTCTTTTGTGCAGTGGGAATATTTAATTTGTGCCAAAATCTTTAAAAATTCTCAGCTGAGGCACTATGTTTAAAAGCTTCCATTATGAGAAGAAATTGTAGAAGGTGCATTTTTAGCCAGGAGCTGGGCCCATGGGGTGACCACCACCATCTCATCATTATGGATATAGACATACTCCTTGGACATGCTTAACATTCCTAATCTTAAAATCCCGGGGTCCTCTAAAATCTGAAACTTAAAAAAAATTTACTTTTATGAGTGTTTTACCTTCAGAGGCCAGAAGAGGGCACCAGATCCCCTAGAGCTGGTCAGTTGTTAGCTGCCATGTGAGCACTGGGAACCAAACCCTGGTCCTCTGCAAAAGCAGCTAGTGCTCTTAACTGCTGAGCTATCTCTCTAGCCCCTGAAACTTTTAAAAATATCAAGTTAGTGCTTTTAAAAAACAAGTCAGATTTGAGAGGATTTCAAATTTCTGATTTTCAGATTAGGGACGTTTAATTGGTAAATTCTATGCATAGTCCTAAATTCACCAAAGTCTGAAATCTGAAGGACATTTGGGTGAAGGATACTCAATCCATCTATGATATCTACTGGGGATGGCAGGGGTGGGAGGTTTCTTAAACTCTTTTGCACATAACAGTCACTTGGAAGGCTGGTTTCAACCACAGATCTTTGGGCCAGCCTTCTGAATCCAGATCATTAAAGGTGGGCCCAGTAACATCCATTTAAAGTATCTTTCCCCAGCTGAGTGTGGTGGCGCATGCCTGTGGTCCCAGCACTTTGGAGGCAGAGGCAGGTGGATCTCTGTGAGTTCGAGGCCAGCCTGGTCTACAGAGTGAGTTCCAGGACAACTGGGGCTACAGGGAGACCCTGTCTCCAAAAGAGCAAAAACAAAAACAGAAAAACAAAATTAAAAATAAAATAAAAAAATATAAAATATCTTTCTCCACACGTTGCCACTTAGTTTATAGGGAGTGTCACTTGGCTCCTAATGATGACCTTGAAAGTCAAGTATATTTTGTGGGAAGAAGAAGGTTGGCTCCAAGTTCAGACTTTTCTGCTTCCTTTTCTCTGGAACTTAAGGTTTCTCAAGTTTCATGTTCTCGCTTTAGAAAGGGGCTCTGCTACTTCTGTCTTTTGTTTGCAGCTGACAGATGTGGTGGGAGAAGACAGGAGACAGGAGTACAGAGCACAGCATAGCTAGAAATCTTTTTTTTTTTTTTTCCCGAGACAGAGTCTTACTATGTAACCCTGGCTGGCCTGAAACTCAGTATGGTCTGGTCACAGAGATCTGCCTGCTTCTGCTTCCCAAGTGCTGGGAATAAAGGCATGAACTACCATGCCCAGAATTTTTTTTGAAGATTTTTTTTTTTTTTGGACAGGGTCTTCCTGTAGTCCCAGCTAGCCTGGAACTCAATATCAGGCTGGCTTCAATCTCACAGAGATCCATAGCCTCTGCCTCCCAAGTGCTGGGATTAAAGGTGTGTGCCACCAGGCCTGGCACTTATTTTATGTATGTATGTATGTATGTATGTATGTATGTATGTATGTATGTATGTGTCACTTTGAGACAGGGTCTCCCTGTAGCCCCAGCTAGCCTGGAACTCGCTCTGTAGACCAGACTGGCCTTGATCTCATAGAACTCTGCCTGCTTCTATCTCCCAAATGCTGGGATTAAAAGTGGGCACCACTATGCCCAGGTTATTTTTTATTTTTAATCAAATGTATATGTGTGTGTCTGTGTATGGATATGGGCACATGAGTACAGGTGCCTTTGGAGGCCAGAAGAGGGTGTCAAATCACCTGAAGATGGGAGTTGTAGGCAGTTGTGAGCCTCCTAATTTGGGTGCTGGGAACAGAACTCAGGTCCTCTGCAAGAGTATTATGCTGACTCTCTTAACTGCTAAGACATCTCCCCAGTCCCCCAGAAGTCTATTTTTAGAAAGATTTTTAAATTTTATGCATATAAGTGTTTTGCCTGCATGTATGCAAATGCATCAAGTACATGCAATGCCTGCAGGGGCCAGAAGAGGGCATAGGATCTATATATATATATATGAATGTGGTGTGTGTTCAGTGCCCTCAGAGGCCAGAACAGGGTGGTGGAGCCACCATGTGGGTGCTAGGATTTGAACTTGGGGCCCATGCAAGAAGAACAAGTGCTCTTAACTGTTGAGCCATTTCTCCAGAACCTATTTTGACAAAAAACTGGGCTAAGCAGCATGAGAAGTTTGAGAGAGAAATACCAACCACATCCAAGTTTGCATCAACTGCAGGCTGCACACTAAATACATTTTCTAGGGAAGAGAAAGTCAAGTTCTACTGCATTTGAATCTACTTTTCAGGCGTCTTAGGAGGAATCAGATGATCCTGGCCAACACCCTATTCCAGTGTGTTTGTTATCACCCTGAGGAATTCCAGATCATCACCAGTGGCACAGACAGAAAGGTAAGCACAGGTGGCCCTTCATAGCCCAGAGTTCCTCATCTGCAGATTCAATCATCTATGAAGGTCTGAAAGTGCTTGAGGGAAAAATTGCATCTGTGCTGAACATGTCTAGACTTTTTCCTTGTCATTATTTCCTAAACAGTATAACTATTCATAGAGTGTTCATATCGTGTTAGGTATTAGAAGCAACCTAGAGATGATTCAGAGTATGCGGAGGATATGTATAGGTTACATACAAATACTGTGGCATTTTATATAGGGATATGAGCATTCTTAGCTTTTGGCTCCCATGACTGATACCAACGGACTACAATGACAGTATAGTTAGTGAAAGATCTCCCTTTTCCAGCACCTGTTTCTCCCTGATCCCAACTTAGTTCCCCTTCCCAGGAAGGACCAAGGTTAGGTTTTCAGTTAGTATTTTTAAAATATTTTTATTTATATATTTTTTTTTTAATGAGTGTATTGCCTGCATATATGTGAGTGCATACGTGTAGTGCAATGCTGCAGAGGTCAGAAGAGGGCTTTGGATCCCCTGGAACTGGAGTTAAGGACGGTTCATAGCCACCATGAGGGTGCTGGGAATCGAACCCAGGTTCTCTGCAAGAGCAGTCAGTGCTCTTAACCACTGAGCCATCTCTCCAGCCCCAGTTTTCAGTTAGTCTTTAAATCCCACCCTATGGAAAATGTTGTTGCTTGGGCCAGAAAGGCAAGTGAGGGGACTGTAGTGGATAAGGGTGGGGTGAAAAGGAGACAGGGTCTAGTCCTAGGGGTCAGTGACTGTGCAAAGCCCAGACTCCAGAACTCTCTCACTCCCCCTCCCCAGCCTCTGCCAGAAGAAACTGTCCCTCCCACCCGGCCTGCAGTTTTGCCTTCCTCCTCAGATACCAGAAACATCAGCTCTTCTCTTATTTTACATATTGTTACAGACTCAGTCTGCTTAGACTTATCAAAAGCTCTTTCTGTCACAATCCAGGTTTATCAGCATATCCACATCTCTTTAAATAGCATGCAAATTTAAAAACCAATACTAAAAATATTAAGATGGCTTCTCCACCCCCAGTTACAGACTATTTATAATTCTAGCCAATACCCTCCCATGATGTATTTTTGCTACCTTCTATATAAAGTGGAACCATCTTTGGTTAGCATGTGTGTGGATGGTTCCACACAAGTCACTGCACTGACTTCTGTCTTAATGCTTTTCTTTTTCATTCCAGATTGCTTACTGGGAAGTATTTGATGGGTCAGTAATCAGAGAGTTGGAAGGTTCCTTGTCTGGGTCAATCAATGGTATGGATATCACGCAGGAAGGAGTGCACTTTGTTACAGGTTAGTCCTGGATAAGAAAAGAAAATCAAGGTTGGCTTATTTAGACTAGGACATGGAACTCTTAGGTTGGAAGAGCCTGCAAAGGGTCTCAAGGACACCTTGGTTAGATTCAACCCTGAACACACACACTATCATGGCTGGAAAAGTCCCCAAATCACATTCTAATGAGGGAAAAGGTTTGTACAGAGCATAGAGGAAAAACCAAGCCTTAAACTGTTAGATCTGCTTTTTGGGGTGGGCATGGGAAGATAAAAATAGGCCTGTAGGGGCTAGAGAGATGCTCAACAGTTAAGAGCACTGGCTGGTCTTGCAGAGGACCCAGGTTCGATTTCTAGCACTCACATGGCAGCTAACAACCATCCGTAGCTTCAGTTCCAGGGGATCTGACGACCCTCTTCTGACCTCCATGGGCATTACATGGGTGCATTTACACACATGCAGGCAATACAGTCATACACATGAAATAAATAAAATAATAATTAAAAAATTAAAAAATGGGCCTGTAAATGTCCTGGGCGTTTTAGCTGATTTCTCTGCATTTTTGTCATTTTTTTACTGTTGTTTTTGAGATAGGGTCTTGCTCAGGCTGGACTTGATCCTGTGATCCTCCTGCCTCAGCCTCCTTAGGGCTAGGATTACAGGCAGGCCATCACTTTCCTGGCACTTCTGCTGATTTGTATTTAAGTCCTAAACATCAGTGTTTTTATTGTTGAATGATGTGATGCTTCAACTCCCTCTCATAAATGAACTCGTCAACATTTCATGGAGGCATTTACCACACAATATGGCCAATGGAACATCAATACAATTTTCTGCCAGCCTCTTTGATTCTTCAGTACATTAATAAATATATGCTTTAAGCTGATTAAAGTTCCACACATATAATGACTTAAAGGAAGATATCAGACTACACTCAGTATATGTGACCCCTATCTCATATACAGATGTATGAGTCTGTGTGTGTGCACCTGTACACCTATGGAGAAAAGACTGGAAGGAACTAAACCAAGATGATGTTTTTAGTGGTTATTTCCTCCCCCATACCTCAAATTTACAATAAACAGAGTCTTAAGATCAAATAGAAGCTTTAAATAAATATAGGATTTTTCTTTTTTCAAGTTGACATATGGGAAATGTATTGAAAATGAAGCCAGGTCTGTTTCTCTCTGTTCCATGACAGAAATGCCATGTAACTTTTTCAGGTGGACATGACCATCTGGTCAAAGTCTGGGATTATAATGAGGGTGAAGTGACTCACGTTGGGGTGGGACACAGTGGCAACATCATGGGCATCCGGGTAAGTCCTGGAAACCAGTACATTATCAGCGTGAGTGCGGATGGAGCCATCTTGCGCTGGAAGTACCCATTCACCTCATGAAGCACCCGGGGCTCCGCAGCTGCCACACTGTGTCCTGTATAGTCGTGCCCAAGACCAAGTTTGGATTTTGGATAACTCCAGCATAACTAGTCTTGATTTCTCACATCTATTTTTGTTCTTTAGTTAAAATATTTTGTCTTGAACTTTCTTCTTTCCTCTACAGAATACATTTTACATTCTTAAATTGTATGTTGAAGTATGTCAAGGAATACTTTGTTCAAAATGTAAGTTTTTGAGTTTTGTAATAATAAATTCCAATTTGCTGTCTTCTGGTCAGAATCTCTTTTCTGTGACTCTTCAAAACCCATAAACATTCTTCATGATCTGTTACCAGAGAATATTGCTTTTTCTTCTAAAAATGAGGTAAATTCTCTCTCTCTCTCTCTCTCTCTCTCTCTCTCTCGTGTGTGTATGTTGATGAGGATGGAACCCAGGGTCTTACACATGCCAGGCAAGTGCTGCTCCACCTCCATGTCCCAAATTTATCTTTTAAAAATTAAAAAAATATTATTTTTATTTTATGTGTATGAGTATATTGCCTGCATGTATGTAAGTGCACCTGTGCTGTGCAATGCCCATGCACATCAGAAGAGGGTGTCAAATTTCTCTGGAACTGGAGTTCTGGACAGTTGTTAGCCACAATGTGGATGCTGGTAATTGAACCCAGGTCCTCTGCAAGAGCAGCCAGTGCTCTTAACCAATGAGCCATCTCTCCAGCTGCCCCCTAATTTATCTTTTAAATCATCAGTTCACTGATCAGGGGCATGGGGTGATAGGTTTGAACAAAGCTCTTGGGCAGGTGTATTAGTTAATTTTATATAGCTGTAACCAAATATCCATTAGAAACAAGGAGGAATGATTTATTTCGACTCAGAGTCTGGTCCACAATGGTTGGGCCCCATACACCTCAGCAAACATTGTAGTAATGCATTGTGATGAAGCATATAGCTACTCATATCACAGGAAGCAGAGAGAGATGAATGCCAGTACTTTCTGGCTCCCCCCTCACCCTGCCTCCTTTATTTTATCTAGGCCCTTTAACCTATGTGATAGTGCCACCCATATTTAGGGCAGGTCTTTGCCACCTTAATTAATCCTCTCAGGAAATATCCTCCCAGACTCACCCAGAGGTGGTGTACCTCAATCTCCTTGGTGATTTTTAAAAATAAGAATTATTTATTTAGTGTGTGTGCACATACACACATGCGGTAGCACACATGTGGATGTCAGAAGATAACTTGGGGTACTTGGTTCTCTCTCTACCATGTGAGTCACACAAATCAAACTCTGGGTTCCTCAGGCTTGGTAGTAAGCACCTTTACCTTCTGAGCCATTCCGAAGGCCCACCCTGTGATTCTTAATCGAATGAAATTGACAATCAAAATTAACCTTCACAGAAAGTCATGAAGACAATTTCAGCCTCAGTTTTCTACTTTGTCAAGTGAGAAGATTCCTGCTCAGTTGTTTTTTGTGAGACTTGAGTGAACTGTGGTAAAGTATCAGCAAAATTCCTGTTAAACACCAATGCTCCCTCAAATTGTGTGTTAGCAAGGTGTGGTGGGGCACACCTATGATTCCAGCACTCAGGAGGCTAAGATGGGAGGACCCAGAGTTCCAGACCAGCCTAGGCTATTCAAGTGAAGACCAACCCTGTCTTATCCCCCACCACACCAAAATAATACCAACCAACCAGCCAACAAAAACCCCCAAACCAGGGGTTGGAGAAATGGTTCAATGGTTAAGAGCACTGGCTGCTCGTCCAGAGAACCCAGGTTTGGTTCCCAGGATCCACATGACAGCTAACAACTCATAAATCCAGTTCCAGGGGAGCCAACACCCTCTTCTGGCCTCCATGGACATTGCATGCACAGGTGCATTTACATGCATGCAGACAAAACACTCAAACATATAAGATAAAAATAAATTTAAAAAACCCCAAATCATTCCAAAACAAAACTTCAAACAAACAACAAAAATCCCTGTGTGTTATTTTTGTTATTAAGGATCTTAGAGCAATCTCAAAGCTGAAAATTCAGAGCTTCTGTGTAGAAGCCACATCTTTCTTCAGTACTTAACCACCAGCCAAGTGACAAAATGGCTCTTATGATTTAAATTTTCAACTGGATATTTTTTTTTTCCAGGAAGGTAAATGGTGTCCTTTTCCAAAAACAAGTCTCTGGGTCACACTACATTCTTTTTTTGTTGTTTTGAGACAGGGTCTTCCTGTAGCCCCAGCTAGCCTGGAACTAGCTATGTAGATCAGGTGTACAGAGGCTCATTTGCCTCTGCCTCCCAGTGCTGATATTAAAGATGTGGGCCACTATGCCCAGCCACACCACAATTTTTTTGTCCTAAGCATAATCTTTATCCTTAACGTACGCAGCTGTTTGACACCAGGTAACTGCTGCAATCCTATTCCAAAGATCAAGGAGAATTTTTAATAAATGATGACCGCTTATTTATTAAGTAGCAAGTCACATTTCTAGTCGCTGATACTGACTCCAGCAAGCTGCTGATCTTTTTTGAGATGGAAACTGATGAGAAATTCATTTTGCAAGACCTTGCCCGATTAATTATAAACCTGACAGTTATGGATAAAGAGAGCAGAGCGCCCCCACCTCCTCCCGGGTTACCCAGGAAATCAAGGGCGAGGCAAGGCGAAACTAATTTTGATTGGACAACAATTCAGCCAGGATTTTGCGTGGAGCGAACAAGCCACCAAATAGGGGGCGCACCTGAGAGCCTGAAAACTTCCTGCGGAGCAAATGCTGGGGTTGGAAAGGGCAGAGTTCACCGTGGGATAAAGTTCCGGTCTTCCTTTCGTTGCGTTAACCCCTAGGCTCACTTCACCAATTGAAACCATGACGATCAAGTCTCCCAAGAGTTTGGAAAATGACTGTTAATATAGTCTATAGTTAAAAACACAAACAAAAAAGGAAATCAAACTCAAAGCCCACAACCACTCTAGGCGTTTCTTCACAGCACCCGTGGCTTCCAGGTCAGGTCTTGGGGTGACGGGTGCAGGCAAAGGCTCTACCTGCCCCAAGGGGCGGACAGGCTGTGAGGAGGTGGCGCCACCTGACCGCACACACCTGAGCCTGCAAAGGACCACGATGCACTAACCCGGCGAGGCTGTCAGCGCGCGCCTCCCACTGCACCTGAGCCTGTGCTCCGGCGCCGCTCTGCTTCCCTTTTTACTAGTCTTCATTTGGCTGGCACAAGAAACTTAGCTAGAGCCAGGGCGTGGCCATTTCCTAGGCATTTTCGAATATTCCATTCCTCTGTCATCCGCACAGCTTAGGAGATGGGCGGGAAAGGCGAGCAGAGGTGAAATGCGAGGACGGTCGGTTCCTGGGCGGGAAGGAAGGGTGGGGAAGTCTGCACGTCTGCTCCCCGGGCTTTTATTCCCTCGCTGGGCAGTCAGGGAGGGAGTGGGCGGCGGGCGCTGCCCCAGGGCCAGATTCCCGCGCTGGGCGTGGCGTGGAGGCCCCGCCTCTGGGGCCGCCCCCTCCCCGCCCAGTCTCCCCGCACACCTGGCCCGCAGGTAGCCGGTGTCCCGCGCCTTCGCGGGGCTGTGAGGACCGGGGTCCTGCAGGTCCGCCTCGGGCCGGGCAGGTCTGCGCTCCGGGAGCAGGCGGCAGTCACCATGGAGCCAGGCCCCGGGGACGCGCTGGGAGACCAGCCGTCCGCGCCCCGACCCCGCCGCCGCCGCTCTCTGCGCCGCCTGCTCAGCCGCTTCCTGCTGGCGCTGGGCAGCCGCTCGCGCCCCGGGGACTCGCCGCCCGGTCCTCGGCCCCCGCCACAGCCGGGACCCTGCGATGGCGACGGCGACGGGGGCTTCACCTGCGCCCCGGGCCCGGTTCTAGCCGCCTCCGGGAGCCCCGGGCCGGAGCGCCCTCCCGAACCCCAGTCCCAGCTCCCCGCGGGCGATGGGGCGCGGCCGCCCGGCGCTCAGGGCTTGAAGAACCACGGCAACACCTGTTTCATGAACGCGGTGGTGCAGTGTCTCAGCAACACCGATCTCCTGGCCGAGTTCCTGGCGCTGGGGCGCTACCGGGCGGCGCCGGGCCGTGCCGAGGTCACCGAGCAGCTGGCGGCGCTGGTGCGCGCGCTCTGGACGCGCGAATACACGCCCCAACTTTCGGCTGAGTTCAAGGTAGGCAGCGCTCGCCGCCCCGCAGCCCCGCGGCGGCCTCCTCCGACCCTTCTGGTTTCGCTTTTTGCAAAGCGCGAGAAGCAGCAGCCACGCAAGGGCTTTTCGGGGGCCCCTGTAGATACTACTTAACCAGCCCAGCCTCGGGTGACCGCCTTTGTTTTGAGGTGACGCGTTACGTTATCACTTGCATATGTTTTCTTTATGAATTCGTTTTTCTCTGGTATTTTGAGCGGGGGTGGAGAGAGAGTGCTGGCAGGCTTAAGTAAGTGTATTCAGTAGTTTTGCTTTTAATAAACAGTTGTTGAACTAGTGCAGGTTTGCCAGCCAGGGTTCTAAGGCCAGGCGAGTTTAGAGCTTCGGATTTGGGAGTGTACAGCGGAGTGGGAAGTCGGTCTTTGAAGACCAAGACTCAGCGGAAGGAGGTGACGGTTTGCCTAGAGAATAGAATGCCGAGCAGGACGCGACCCCGCGGAGGTGTTGGGCTAACCCAGGCAGGGGGTCAGCAAGCACAAAGGTCATAGACCTGGAGAAGATGTGTCCTGGAGACCTGGAATGAAAACCAGTGTCACAGAGCTGAACAGCCAGGCCAGGGTCTTCAGATGGTGCTCGACCTTGGACACAGTGAGTGGTAAAGGCTTTGGATTATTCCAAGCCTGGTGGCTGCTGAGAACCCGTGGGCCAGGTGCTGTGATAAGTGGTGGGGAGGGAGTCATTGGGTGGGCTATTTTGGAGATGGCATCCTTTATTTTAATTCACATTAAATCCTGGTGGTATGGGAGATAGCATGTGTGATCTGCAAGATCACAGTCCCCTTGCTAAACATGCTGCGGGGTTATGCATCACAGACCCTGGCTGGCTGTATGTCCCTTCACTCTGGTTTAAAGTGGTGTAGAGGCCCAGTTAGATGGAAGTACTCCTGATGATCGATGTGTGGATCTTGCTTCCCCTTGCAAAACTACATTCTGGGCAGAGAGCTAAAATTCCCCACAGACTGGTGATTGTTGTTGTGGGGAGGAAGGGGAACATGCCTGCTGGTATTCATTCCAGAAGCATGGACCAGCTCTTGAGTTTCAGCCCCAGAAAGCAATCTTTGCTGTGTGATCTGCAAGGATGCCAGCCATCACCTCCATTCCTTGAAAAAGTATTGTTTTACAGTATTCACATTGAGTGTCATTGAATGGTTTCTCTTTTTAGCCACATTTAATTTTCAGATAGTATAGGATAGTGGACAAGTGTAAGGTCTCGTGGGTAATGGCTCAGTGGGTAAAGTGCATGCCATGCAACCCTGAGGATCTGAATTCAGTCTCTAGAACCCAGATAGGAAAAAGCAAGTCAATCTTGCTCTGCCTCAATTTTTCTCATCTGTAAAACTGAACCAGAAGACACCTCATTATAAGGTAGTTGTATTGAGTTATACATAGAGCACTGACTGAGAACAGTGCCTGGCTCCTGGGAAGGCTTTATTTATTCTGGAATTACACTTCCTTCCTGCTGAGACCTAGAGGAGGAGGGGAGGTGATCTTTGAGTAAGTTTTCTCTTACCAGATGTAGTCCCACCCATTTACTACAGCAGTGAGAGAGGTGAGTAGCTTGGGAAAAACTCTGACTCACTAGGATTTCCTCTTTGTCTCTTCTGCTGTGGAATCTCCAGGGCCAAGGAGCTCAGTGTGTGCCTTGGGGAAACTGAAGGATAATTGAGTTAATGAGGGAGATATAATCTGGGTTTTTTTCAGGACATTTGGGTAACCAGCTGTGGAGGGTGGAGTAGAGTATTCCAGAACCTTGGCTTTAAACATTAGGGATTGAAGTTTAGATGGGAACATTTTTTCTCATGTATGATGAACCCTTCACTCAGTCAACACGTGTTTATTGAATATGGAGATAATCTATTGGGAATAGGAACTATGTGATGAGTGACAAGTACAAACTCAAATCCTGGAGCTTCTCTGCAGGAGTTTAACTGTCTAGAGGAGAAATGGATGTTAATGCAGTGGTCACATAGGCACTCGATTAGAATTGGTGACAGGCTAAAAAGGAAAAATACAAGCTGCTATGACAGTTGTGGCAAGAGGATGCGATTTGTTTGGGGGAGCAGGGAGGGCTTCCCTGGAGCGGTATCCAAGTGCTGAGTTGGGTTTTGAAGGATGAGGTGTCAACTAAGGACATGGAAGATGGGAAAGTCACTCCAGGCCTGGGAAGGGAAAATGATAGCAGTGGAGATGGTGGAGATGGGTGGAGCTGAGGCTGAGAATCCTTCTAAATTTGCTAATGAGAGTCTATGTGGCTGGGGAGGACAGGGTAGAGAATTAGTTGGAGACTTGGCCTTATTAAGGTGATTGATTTTTAAGATGAATTGTTAACTTCAGACCCAGGAAGGGCCCAGAATGGTTGGGTCGTGACCCCATCCCCACCCTTGCAAATGGGATGGGTTTACAGTGTTCTGCCTTCTGAGCTTAGAGTCACCCCAGCTTCCCACACATAGCAAGACCAATTTTGTATTAACAAAAACAAATAAATATGCCTTTAAAATTCTCTCATTATTATCTATAATTCTTTAATTTTCTAAATTTTTAAATCTGTGTAGTTTTCTAATGTGTAGTTAAATTGGAAAAGAAAAAAATCTATAACTCTACTCCCTAGAGGTAACCATCTTAAACTTATTGGTGTGTCTTTTTTTTTTGGTCTTTTTTGAGACAGGGTCTCTCTGTAGCCCCAGCTGTCCTGGAACTTGCTATGTAGACCAGGGTGGCCTTGAACTCACAGAGATCCACCTGCATCTGCCTTCCAAGTGCTGGGATTAAAGGTGTGTGCCACCACGCCTGGCACAAAACTTGACTTTTAATGATGTTAAATATCATCATTGGACTAGTCCCCTATGGAGAAACTGATATATTATCACATTTTCCAGCTAACACAATGTAGTGAAATGTCTTGTATTTAAATTATCACCCTTAGCTCTGATTATTTCTGAATATTTAATTCTTAAATGGAATCATATTTTCAAAGCAAAGGAATGACTATCTTAATATCCTGTTTTTTTTTTTAAAATAAACCTTTTTGAGGTGTGATTTATATAGTGAGTGCATCCATTTCAGCTGTTGAATTTAATGAGGTTTACCAAGTTGCATGTACCTGGGTAATCACCCCATTTTAAATGTTTACTTCTTTTAAAATCAACTTCATTGGTTTAATTATTTTTTGCCATCCATATTGATAAATTTCTTTCCAAATAATCAGGCTTCAGATACAGATTGTCTTGGCTATGGGATATTCTTGTCTTGTTAATTCACCTGTCCCAGCTTTATGAAGCTAATAGTTGACAAATAAAAACTATCTATTTACATAGTACAATACTTTGAGATATGTATACATGGCTAAGTGATTAATTTGGGATAATTAACATATCCATCATCCTCAAGTACTTAACACTTTTTGGTGGTAAGAATACTGAAGTGCCATTCTCTTCGAAGTTTCCAAGTATCTACTACCTAAGTGTTAGTTATGGCCGCCATGCTTTGTAGCTAGACCTCTATGACTTATAAACAATTCTGTTTTTCCTTTTTTCTTTGATTAGGAGTGAGGTGGGCATGCTTCCTGTCTTTCTTGTCTAGTTTGCTCTTGCAGTTGTCTCTGTGGTGTTTGGTTACCCATTCTGCTTTGATCTTAATGTTCTTTTTGTTTCTCAACCTTTGTCATATTTGATAAAATATTTTATCCAAATGCTAGAGACTATAGATTAGTTTATGTCTTTTTTTTTTTTTTTTTTTTTTTTTTAAATACAGAGTGTTACTATGCAGCTCTGGCTGGCCTGGAACTAAGGCGCCTCCTTTTTCGGCCTCCCGAGTGCTGAGAGTACAGGCATGCACCACCACACCCAGCTACACCATACCTTTTGATATGTATTCTATTTTATGTCCTTTCTAGTTTTTCTATGGTTATAATAAGGTTTTAGCCATCTGGGATTTCTCTTAGCATATGTGCTTACAATCAAATTTAGAGACACAGTGATGTACTAGAGGCATTTCCTTTTATTATTTTTGTCTTTGCATTCTTCTGCTTTTTATTTATTTGTTTTGTTGGAGATATGGTCTCATGAATTTCAGGCTTGCCTCCAGCTTATCAAATAGACAAGGATGACTTTGAACTTTTAATCTTCCTGTAGAGGTATTGCTTTCTTTTTAAAAAAAATTTATTTTATGTTTATGACTTTTGCCTGCATGTATGTAAGTATACCCATGTTGTGCAGTGCCTGCGTATGCCAGAAGAATGCATCAGATCCCTTGGAAATGGAGTTATGAATGGCTGTTAGTTGCTATACGGGTGTTGGGAACTGAACCCAGATCCTCTGGAAGAGCAGCCAGTGCTCTTACCCACTGAGCCATCTCTCCAGCCCCCCCCCCCCCAAATTCATTCTTTATCACTCTTTTCAGTAGGAGGGATTGAACCCAGGGTCTCCCACATGCCAGACAAGCATTCCACTAATGAGCTGTACCCCCAGCTTCTTCCCCTTTTGTTTTGAAATTTCTGGACAAAACAGTAAGACAAGAAGTGGCAACAGAGTAAAAGTTATTAGGCAGGAAAAAGCAGTTGAATAAATGCTTCTAGAAATTTGCATTTTTAGAATTTTGCTGTTATTCATGAGGTCAAATACAAGATAAAGTCAAAAGCAATAACCATTTTGAACATATTAAAATTAAATTTTATTAATTAAAAACAACCAGAAATATTAAATAACTAGGAGAAATATGTCAAAAATAAAAATATATTGAAAATCACCAGTATTTAGAGACCACACAGACACACACAGACACACACACACACACAGACACACACACACACACGCACGCACACACA